TAAAAATACGTGCAATATTTTAATCACGCACATGTAAGATTCAACGTCGAAGTATGATCGAATAAACGTTGTATCGACGGAATAAATACACGTGAAATAAAAAAAAAAAGGATAAGAGGTATATACGGAGAACCGGATGAATTCGGATGAAATATACGATAAGAACGTTTGTCGAGAATAGAACAACCTGTTGGATGGATCTTCGACCCTTTATTAGGAAGCGCGATGTCTCCCTTAAGAGCGAGATCTTCTTTTTCGCGTAAGTGCACGTTGGAGAGGAACCTGGTCGACGGCGCGGAGAGAGGGAGGGGAGAGGAGCGCGTTAAAAAGCGCCATCGCCATTTACGGCTGTCATCTCGTGTGGATAACCTGTGAGTGCTGCGCGAGAGCGTTGCACCGTGCCGCACTCGTATCGCGTTTTCACAAAGGTTTTGCGTCAACTTTGACAAAAGCTCGCAATCGTTTCCCCCTCTCCTCCCCCTTTTATCGCGTTGCGTCTTATTCTCACCGAGATTTCATTTGAAAGCTTGGTCGTTAATGGACTGTGATAAGAGAGTTTCAGGAACGCGCGTTGCCTCGAAACGAGTTTCAACTGCTTGCTCAGCATCCCGCCTAACGTTAACGTTACGATCAATGAGTCGTAATCATCGTTTTTAACCATAATATATACTATATATATATATCGTATCTTTCTCAATTTCGTACTAAATATTCGTCAGAATAAAAGTTTGTCAAAATTTTTTTATTTACTTGCAAATCATAAATGTGAAAAATTACTCGTAATAAAAGAAGTGGGGTGGAATAATATCGCGTGTCGATGCAACGTTTTTCACGGTTTTTCTCCAATCCATTTCTTCTTTGGCCGTCCACTGGCACCCCCATCCCGAGTTGCATATAGCTGGAACGAACGAATACAGAGGCAATCTAGTTGTTACCTACGCGTGGGCACCCAGGGTATTGTCGGATGAGTCATCTCTCTCTCTACCGTATACCTCTCACCACCACCCCGTGTGCAGCGTGTGCAGTACAGCACGGTTTGTTTTCTGGGTAAAAGCCGGAGCCGCCGTGGCTCTTAAGAACAATGGAAACAAAAGAGGCAGGCCGGCACGCGTGCTAGCACAAGGTAGCCATGGTCACGGCGGTCACGTTTCGCAGAATGTTGTGTCGTATATGTACACTGTATGGCCGCGTCCTTTGTGTACACCTACACTACGCTCCCGTACCTTCCTCGCGTTGCTTTACCCTCGAAACTATGTATGCCGATATGCACTAGTCACCTCGATATGTCCATCGTGTCTTGGATAATTCCAACGAGTACAGGCAACCGTGACCACCAGAGACCTCTATTTTCGTTTGATTTGTATTGTAGATTTGCCTTTGTATCGTGACTTGTCGCGTCGATAATAAATCTTTCTTTTTTTTCTGATGATTGTAAATTCAATTAGAGACGGAATGAAAGGGATAAATAGGTTTAATAGATTTTATCGAAGAACTTTTGAATTCTACTTTTGAGTTCGATATTCATCATCATCTTCGTTACGCGTCAAAATTAATATTAGATATACGGAGATGTGAAGGTTAATTTGAAAGCGCGCGTCATGCAACGCGTTTTTAATTCGAGTCATCGACTCGTTAGGCACGTATACTTGGAGAGATCGGTCGAAAGTAGAAAAAAAGAAAATTTTCGATCGATTCCCCTTAGTACGTATACAACGCGTTCATACCGTGATCGATGACGAGGTTTTACGTGTGTTGCGCAGGTCGAGAACGTGAGCCTGTGCGTAGGAGCGCTCCGAGCTCTTGGGGCGGACGTGGGCTCCGTGAATCCTAGCGAATTGGCTGCAGGATCAACCCTCTGGCCGGTCCTCGCCCTTCTTTTCGCCCTCTCACGATACAAGCAGAGAGCCAAACAACTTCAAGACATGCCTAGGTAAGTTCAAATACAGGTTTCTTCTTATCGACGATTGATAATACAAAAAGCTCCAGCAAGTCGAGTCTACCGTCGGTAAGTTAGATTGTCTGTATCAACAGCGGATAACTTTTATATTGTATCGATAGAGGATAAATTTTATCACAAATTGTATTATTAAATTAAAAGAAAACAGCGCTTCATTTTTTTTAAAGATAAAAAACATTTAATTTGGAAAAATTTGAGTAAAAATTGCAAATATAATTTTACTATTAATAATAATAATTAATAATAATAATTTTAGTATTCGGATATTCGTTTTGCATAAATATTGTATAAGAAAAAAAAATATTTACATTGAAGAAAAAAATCTCATGTTACAATATTTAATGTTTATTCAATAAAGAGCAACATTATCGAATGAACATCTGTCATCATTTTTATTTCCGAATTTATCGATCGTACATCATAATAATTAAAACTTTTCTTAAGAGTTTCAACTAAATTATTAGAAGTTATTATCACAAAATTTTTATTTACTTAAATCTAATCGTATATTTATTCTTCGTACGTTCGAATCGACGTTTCATCGGATGAACGATCCGACGACGTGCTCATTAACGTTCGTGTTAATTATGCTCTATACGAGTTCACACAACTGAATTGCGCTATATAAGTGAATTACCGTATTTCCGTATAGAAAGGTAACCGCGAGCTGAAACTTCAAATATATTTTAATTACTCCGTGATTAATTACTCTCGTGTCCCGTGAACACTAAGGAGTCCCACTGACTTGGCGTTTTTCTTAATCCGCATTTCCCGTAAGCCGCGACTGTCAAGGTCGTTATTTTTAAACCTACACGCAATCCTACGCGAGAGAGTTTCGTGGAAGTCGTGCTTTTTGCAAAACGAACGAGACGATAGTAATCTTCGTTATATATACTTACTTATACACGACAATATTTTTCAGAATTATTACGCGAACGAATTAAAACGACAATTTAATAAGTTAATCAGTTTTAATGAGAAAGAATTTTTCGTTTTTCTCCCTCTATTCGCAAAAGCTAACGTAACGAGCTTTTTTTTATTAAAAAATTAATAAAATTAATAAAAAAATTATAACGATACGAGTGAAATAGAAAAAGGACCCCATAGGGAAATTCGTGACGAGTGGAATTCAAGGTTCGTCGTCTAATGGACCGTGTAACGATTCTTCGGTGGAACGGAGAAACATAAACCGTCGGAACCTTTAGGAACGCTCGGCATTAACATATTAACAATGCTCCATTATGTCCACGACTGAGTGTAGACCGTAGTCGTTGCGTTACGTTCGCCACACAATATAACCGCACGTATACATCGAAACTCCCTCTTCAACACAATTCAGGCAATGTGGGTGTATTATAGCTCTGGTCTGTATAACGAGAATATAACGGGTAACCTCAAAATACTCTTCAATATTTTCTAACATATGTATCATCAATACCGGTTTTTAAATAAGAATTATATCTTTTCTAATTACGGATTTGATACGTGATACATATATATGTAGTTTTTTAAAAAAAAAAAAGACAAAAACACGATATCATTTTCTTATTATATATGTTTAGTAAAAAAGGTTTATGAAACACGATAACACGTAGTTTATTTATATGCATTTTAAACTCGTACGAACAAACAAGTTAAAAAGATAAATATCAATTCATTCAAGAAGCTTTATACGCGTGCATTCTAGTTTATTGACTTTTAACCTTCATCTCGTATGTCAATTTCACGCACTGTAATAAATCGAAAAACATGTCATGCATACCACCATGAAGAATATGAATAACTTTGTGTATAAAAAATTTTGTATGTGTAGTTAAAAAATTTCATAATAAATAAAGATTAAATAATTAAAATATCTTAAACATAGACGATAATTCAACAAAGTTTTCAAATATATTTGTATCAATTAATCGAATCGTATAAAATTTACCAGCTTCGTACGATGTATGTAAACAGTATTCAATTGTTCCACGAGAGATATATTAAATTACCATTAATAACTTCCATGAATCCATTAAATCGTATATAACGTTTGAATTGCCAATTAAATAGATTTTTCAAACCACTCTGTAGAAAGTTGTCGTTTACACGATTTGTACACACGCTTATGTACGAGTAGAAGATACACACCAAACTCTTTTCGTACGAGACTCGTACGGGCGCACACACAACGTATTGTTGCGCTCGGTACAATACTTCGTACGTGCACGTGCTGAAGGTATGCACGCATAAAAATGATTTAAAAATCCACAATAGAAAACGCTCGTCAGAGATTGGCTGGCTCTTATGGAAGGCCAACGATATGATTGGTCGGTTCGTGCGGTGGGGAAATTCACGGAGGTAGTAGGTACTAACGTACGGGAAATGGGAAGGGAGAGGGAGAAGGAGAAAGATAGATAAACGACGAAAAGAGAAGAACGAAGAGAGTAGACGGGATTGGGAGATTCGAGGGCAAAGAACGAACAGGACTTTATGGGGGTGAACACGAACAAACGAGAAGGGATGAATCTGGGGTTTAATATCGAGAAGAACAGAGATGGTGGAAAGATGAGAGAGAGAGAGAGGGACGGTAGAGAAACAGAGGGCGCGGGTAGCGAAATGCGGTGCGAGAACGAAGGAAACACGGATAGATAGGAATATTGCGAGATGAAACGTATAGCAGAGACTATGTTAAAGGGAAGGTATATCGTATCTACATGAGGATTCGAAAGAGAAAAAAGGAAAGAGCGTATGCGTGTGCTGAGGTAATAAGGAGTGAGAAAGAGAATCGGGAAGAGTAAGAGAGAAAGAGAAGGAGTGATGGGGATTGTACGAGTGAATAGTGGGGGCAAGAGCGAGGGAGGGAGAGAGCAAAAGAGAGAAGCCACGTGCTATGGGAACAGGAATGGTTCTCTCTCGGCGGGCCTCAGTTTGAAACGGGCCATCAACGATGCCTACACACCATGGCCATAGTATGACCGTGGAACAGCTCGCCATAAGGCATCGTTTCCTCGGTGGATGTGTAGTGTAGTGAGAAAGGCTTCGCTCTCGACAATTACTATTTACAATTCCTGTTTTTGTTCGTGAAATATACGAATCGAGAACTGGTTCCTAAAGACAAAGATCGAAAATATGCTTTCTTCGAAAACGATCCGAAAATCGATCCGTTTCGAGAATCTTGCGTTATTATGCGCCAAGATTCGCTCGCAATTCTCGTGGTTGGATCGAAACGACAAAATCAACGATTCGATGATCGATTGGTAACGGATAATCGAGAAGAAATGATATCGCCTTTTGACAAAGTTTCAATAGAATATATCGTTGCACTCACAATGATACTTTCTGGATTATTCTTTGATCGTTGATGAAATTTTCAATATTCGTTTTATAAATGCTTCGAAAGATAAAAATATCCGTTTCTGTAGATCAGTGAAGATGCTATACCGGTTATCGTACGAGTTCGACTATAGTAAGTTATAACCTATGATGTGATTCGTTAGAACGTGAAGAAAGATTTTACGAATGAAAGTAATTATAGGATACAAATGCAAATAAAATCACAAGAATCGTTTATAAGCGATCGAGTGCATGGTGATGATCGATTCGCACGAACGCTTCTAATTACAGGAAATGGAGGTGTAACGTGAAAATGTAACGAATGGATTTGAAATACGATACATAGGAAACGAATCATATCATCGTCGGTTTGTACGTTTTATAACAGTATAACGGAATTTTCTCATGTTTAAATTAATCGCGTGTTTCATTATATAATAAAACATATCGAAAGATCAAAACTATAAATGTATCATCGCGAGCAATATGAAACAACGAAGCGAATGAATCACAACCGTGGTTCAAATTACGTTTTTTACCGTGTCTATCAATCAAGACACGCGACAGAGAATTTGACGAAGAACAACAGGAACGAATATTCGTTTTCTGACACAGGTTGAAACGTTTGCTGTTTCATTTATTTGTTTATTTACTAACGCGAACGCGTCTACCGGTTGATTCATCGAGACACTTTTGACCGTCAGAAGTGTCAGTGCACGCGAGAAGTGATACTATTTCGGATCGCACGGAGTGGCTAACCTCAAAATTGGTGCAAAATGGGAAACAGCGGAAGTAGTGGTGGGGCCAACAGGAAAGCTCGCAGCTTGCCAAATTCACCGGAAGCGCACAGGTATCGTTTCACGATTCAATTTCAGTTTCTCGGCCTTTTTGCTGCGTCCTTCTTCTCGGTCAAGTGAAAACCGGTTATTTCGTTTGCAAATCTTCGAATCCTTCTCTACGCGGTTGCCATTGATTTTTCTCCGTGAATTTCTAACCTGTCGGATGAGAAACAAAACGTTTAGCAATGCGTTTAAATATCTCAATTCGTCGTTTCGCTTCGATTTAATGCGATTTAATGTTTCTTCTCGATTATATAGATCAATTTCGAGAATAGTTTACGGATTGAACTTTCACGGTGGCTACTTTATTAAAGCGTATTCTGCGTTCTCCCAGATCCCGGATTTCACGATCTTCGCACCGCAGAAACCGAATGATGTTTTGTCTTGTGGTTTTGAAGTATAGATTTTTAAACGTTTTGCGAGTGATATTTATCATAGTATCGAGAAGCATCGTTGTAGAACTTAAGTGATTTGATTAGACGATGAATTGTGAGAATAAAAGTGAGAATCGCACAGCGTGTATAATTACAGGACGCGAATGAATAAGACGTGCTCGGTCACGATCTATATTGAGAAGGAAAAAATTCAAAACCAGATCTCCCGCCTCGTGGCTCCGACTGGGCATCGCCAAGGGGCCCCGAAGACCGGTTAGGCCTTGGGTACAGGTCGCACCTCGACACCTTCTGCACTCGAACCTCCGACGCGAACACGCGATTCGATGAGAACATTCTGTCACGCATCTTTCGAATCGTCGCTCGTCGGTGTCGATATACCCGTGCAAAAAACTTTCTTACTTTTTTCTCTCGGCGGACGAGACATTTTTACCGACCGAAATTGACTCCTTCGATACATGGAATAGAAAGATACATGGATAGAATTTTCCATTCTAATTATCGCGATAATCGATATACGAGTAAAATTTCAAACACGAAATTCCACTTTTATAGGGCGGGAGGAAACGTAACGTATCCTATTAAGAAAATTTTTTCCCTCTTAAACGAGTTTCAGAATTTTCTTTATGCACGGATGTGGGATCGTATTAACTACCACGTTGATTCTTCTTAATGCGTTTTACTTCCTTTAGAAGGTTACATTGCGGTAGTATTAATAATTTCCACGCCTAAGATTTATAAAAAGATATTTGAAGAGAAAACGTGACTTTTTCAAAAACTTCTTTTTTAATGTATTATATATATTTCGTGTAATTTTTCAAAAATTTTTTTTTTTTCGTAACAAATGACTGTAAATGCACAATAAATTATATTACGTCGACGATAATGCTTCCATATCTATTCCTAATAATGCTCGCGCAACTGATATTGTTTGCGAATATGAAATATTCAAATAATAATATCATACCAAAATATTCACGTTAAAAGAATATTTTTGATTCGGAACGATAAACAATTGATTAAAAGAAAATTTTTTATTATAAATCGTAAATACATCATTATACAAATAATATTAATACAATATTTATATTTTGCGAATAAAACTTAATGGATGATTATAATACGAGACGAAAAAAAGTTGTATTAGAAGAGGAACAGAATTGGAGGGGGGGGAGACGCTTCTAATAATTTTTTAGAGTCTATCGATCCTCCGAATCGAAAGAAAACTTTTTATTATAAATCTTAAATATATCATAAATACAATATTTATATTTTTCGAATAAAATTTAACATTAATGGATGATGATTGTAACATGAAAAAAAATTGTATTAGAAGAGGGACGGAATTGGGGGGGACGCTTCTAATAATTTTTTAGGGTCTACCGATCCCCCGAATCCTACGCACCTGGCGATTCGATTGACGAAAAGCAGAAGTTTCCTTTTAAAGAGCGAAAGGCGTGTAGACAAGCGGTGTATTTATTATTATTTTTGCCGGATGAAGCGAGTCAATGCTCGGACGCGGTGGTATCGCGCGCACAATGAAAATGGGAAAAAAAAAAAAAAAAAAAAAAAAAAAAAAAAAA